TCGGGCCGCGGTGCGGTGGCTGCTGGCGGCCACCGCTGGCCCCGGCGCCCCGGCCAGCAAGGAGGAGCTGGACAGAGCCCGCAAGCAGGTGGGAGGCCGCGGGCGGGCACCCTCCGCTCACCCGGGTGCCCTGCTCTGTGCCAGCCTCGCTCAGGCTGCCCAGGACCCTCTGAGGGCTCCCAAGTGCTTGTCGAGGGGCTGGAGGAGAGGCTGCCCTGAGCAAGGCGCTCCTGACAGCGTCCAGCAAATCCACAGTGCAAAACTCTGGGAAAAGCCAGAGGTTTCCCCGGCCGCCCCCACCGCAGCTGCGTTTGCTTGTGCACAGCAGAGGCTAACGGTGGTTTATGCTGTCCATAACCCCTGTGACGAACAGTGGTGCCCAGGCACAGAGGACGCCCGGCCCCTGCTGCCCTCGATCGAGGGGAGGCCGCGAGGGGGCCTTGCAGAACTCGTGACCCGAGTGGTGCTGCGAGCGAGCTCCGGCCGGCGCTGCAAAGCACCTCTCGTGCTGACGAGGGCTTTCTTGAAAGAACTACTTCTGCTTAATTAAGATGAGAGTGGAGAAGTATTTTTCCCTTTTCCCACACAGCCCCCGTTAATCGCCGTCTGCTCGGCGCGCTCGCTATCTCCCTGCCAGCCAAGAGCGGCGGCGCTGCCTTCAGCACGCGTTGTCATAGAAATGCTGCGCGCGCGGCGGGCGCTGCCGAGCCGGGCATGGAGCAGCGCGGCTGCCCCGGCCCCGCCGGGGCTGCGGCCGGGCTGGTGGTGAGGCAGCTCCGTGACACTCCTGTCCCTGCAAGGCAGGTGATCCAGAGGCGCCAGGCCAAGGCGATGCAGACGTAATCGGGATAATAGTCCGGGATGAGTAACATCTGGAGCGCAGCTGCTCCCCGCCGCGCCGCGGAGCCCGGGAAGGGGCGGCCAGCCCGGAGCTATGTGTCCGGAGCAGGGAGGTGGCGCTGCCGAGGGCACCCTTCCACATGCCACTTCGAAGGAATAAGCAAGCGTGCGGAAGCATGCACTGCTGCTGGCCCTCGCCAGGCCTTTAATATCCCCTTAACCTTTCAGATGGAAAGGAAAAAAAAAAAAACACAACTATGCACGAATTTATGGCTTGCGTTGGCCCTGGTGGCTCTCAGGGTGGAGATAACCCTGAGTGACAGTGAGTAAAGCTGGGCTCTTTCTGGGGAATCATCTCAAACCAGCAAGTGCCAAAGCCAGGATGGAGGATCCTTGGAGGCTCCTGCTCTTGAGCAGCCCACGGGGAGTCCCTGGGCGGCCACCAAGGAAGGGGCAACGCGTGGGTGGCCACGTCCCTGCTGCGGCCACGTCCTGCTGGGGAGCAACGCTGCAGTGCTCAGAGCCACGCGGCCCCTCGCAGAGCCGGCCTTGTGCGAGGTGCTTCTGCACTTCTGATTGCTCCCCGCAGTGGCCTGCTGGTGCCATCTGCCCATTTGGCAAGAGCGGAGAAAAGCCTTGATATTGGGAATATTGAGTTTTGATTATGCTGCGAGCCCTGGGACTCTGTGCAATGGAGGAGCCTCGTGATTATACCATTGCTTAAATGGCAATGATTTCTAATGGCCTTTATGATGCGCTTCTCTGAATCCAATACTTGCTCACAGCAGCCCACAAATCACTGCGAGAAGAAAAACTTTGCTAAAATGTTACATTTTTGTTAATCAAAATCCATATGGTCTTGAAGTGTCGCATTGTTTCTTAATAAGTCTGAAGCATGCGTTTTGCGCAGGTATTTAACAGATGGTATAGCGCGGCAAACTAATGTTGTTCATCAGTTCATACATTATGCATTTTTTGGGGTGGGAATTTCAATTTATTCTTCCCAAGTGGGAAAATTCCATTACATAACGCAAAAGGGAAGCTGGCATTTAATGAGAGGTGCTGCAGATAGACTTGTCTGTGTTAAACTACCTGGCACTGCAGGGCTCACTTCATGCCGAGCACGTGGCTCCCGTGTCCCCTGCTCGGGGACACGTGGCACCGTGTCGGGTGCCCCTGTTTGCCAAGGTGAGGAGCGCAGCAGCGCCGGCACCAAGGCTGCATCCTGGATGCCCCGGGGCTGTGGGTGTGCAATGGGAATACGGCTGCTTGGAAAACAGATGCCTTTGGAAGGGAAAGCTGGGAAGGGCTCAGTTATTGCCCTCCAGACTCCTCCTGTAGTGGCAGTAATAATGCAGATTGGAAATCTGTGACCTTTAGCATCTCCCCCAAGCTACTGCTTGGGTAATTTTGGTAACTGCTCCGGAGCTTTATGCAAAATCCAAAGGCTATTTTTCAGCTTGCGGAAGAAGGCAGGACATGTGTGTCATTATAAAAGAGGCTCTGCAGATATATGAATAGATTGACTAGATAATTCATCCAAACAGGCTGAGTTTGGACACGGGATTGTAATTTCATATAACAGCTTTGCAGGTTTTGAGCTGCAAAGTGCATCCGTGCTAGACCTTTGGGTTTTGTGGGGCCATCGCGTTGGGCTGGCACTGCCCCCGCAGCAGCCCGGGTGCCGGGGGCTGTTGCTTCCCTTGGTTTGGTTGGCATGGGGTGACGGCCCCGCGGTGACGGCACCAGGCTCGTCTGCTCGTGGGGTTTTGCAGCATCCTGGGGGCAAACGCAGCGCCCCGGGCAGCTCATCGGCACACGGGTCTCGCCTTGCAGAGAGTCATTGACTTCTAGGGAAAAATGACTTCAATTTCCTCTGCAGATCAGACACCCAGGAAGCAAATTGCCTACTTAGCTCTCCCGAGTATGTCTCTGTCGCCCCAGACGGTGGAGGGAAATGAAGTGCGATTGCTCTGTGTACAGTGCTCCTTCGGCCCCTGTTTTGAGGGAGGGAGCAAAAAGAGATGGTTACCATCTCTTTCGGCCTAAAAAGAGCAGGGTTTGGCTCTCCCCGTGGCGCTTGGTGGCTCCCGCTACCCCTGGGGGTGCAGACGGTCCTTCCCATCGCCCAGGCCTGGGCTGTCCTTCCCCTGCTCGTCCGGACGGGTTGCAGCAAGGCCACAGGCAAAGAGGAGGTGGCTGCGCAGCTCATGGGTGAGGACAAACACAGAGTGGGGAATAAGGAGCAAATGGAGGGGTTTAGTTCTGTTTTCTTAAGGAAAAGGAAGAATCCCGAGCCAGAGAGGCGAGGACCAGGGCTTGCTGCAAAGGCAGAGGTCGTGCGCCCCGGCATGGCCTGCGGGACGTCTTTGTGGGGACACTGCCTCCTCCACGTGTTCATAGCCTGCTTAAGATCTTTGCAGTTTTAACGGCTGGGCTATAAAAATGGAGAGAAAATTAGCATTTATAAATGTGATGTTTGATGTGTATTTGGGAATGCAATTTGTACTACATGAAAAGCCCATTTGCAAACTCCGAATCACGAATTGCTCTAATCAGGAATTACATGTAATGCACCTAATTTTGCAAATTAATGATCCCAGCTCTACCTCGGCATGGCAGCGCCAAGGCAGGAGCGGATCTGCAGCTTGAGATGCCAACTCTGGTGTTCGACAGGATGGTGCTTCACACCGGGAGCCTCGTGTGGCCAAGCGGTGCCAGCCCTGCCGGTGTCCCTGTCACATCCCTGGCCATGGGAAAGGAGAAGTTTTGTTTGCAGGACAGAAGCAGCCTGGAAAACAGCATGGATTCCTAGTGCACTGCCTGGGGAAGATGCTCCAGGAGTGAAACGCGGATAGACAGGGCTGTGCGGCAAGGGAGGCGACGGAATCAGCACGCGGCTGCTGCCGAGGCCGAGCGCTCTGGTAATTCCCGTCTCCCTCCGTTTCTCGCAGCGGGAAGAGAGCGAAGCGAGGTGTGCGGAGGCCCAGGCGGCTCAGAAGACCATGGCCCTGGAGCTGGAGAACCTGCACACGGAGCTGGAGACCCTCAGCCGAAACAAGAACGTGGTACGTGGCAGAGCCGCGGCCCATAGGGGCAGCCAGGGGTTGGTCACTGTAATCAGCAGATTCAGCTTAAAGGATGTGGGGGGAGGTCCTGCCTAGTGTTTTTTTCATTAGAGCCACATTAAATCACGTAGAGCCCCGTCCTGGGTGCCTTAGTGCAGGGAGAACATCGCTCCCGGTGTGCAGCAGCCCTCACGGATCCCCAGCAGATCCGCAATGCCCAGCGCCCTGGCACCGTTTCCCTCTCCGACACGATGAAGGAGCGCGGAGCTGGCAAGGGTGGAAAAGCAGAGAATTCCCTGGTGGGAATTCAGAGGCGCTGGAGCCCAGCACAGAGGGTCCTGGGCGTCCGGCGGGGCCGCGGAGGCGTCCCTGCCGGTGGCCCCGGTTTTGACGGTGGCCCCGGTTTGTCCCCGGCAGCTCGAGGAGCAGCTCTACCAGCTGCAGCACGAGCGAGCGGATCTGCTGAGACGCCTCGACGAGGACCAGGAGGATCTCAACGAGCTCATGGGGAAGCACAAGGCTCTGATCGCCCAGGTGGGACCCGACGCGCGGCAGCCTCTGCTGCATCCCTGCCTAGGGAGGATCTTGGAAAACTCATGGAGCCATGAGGGTCCCTAGCAGGGTTTAGGGGCCTCCCACACCACAAGGCCTCGATAGGAGGAGGGGATGTCTCCCATGTCGTCTCCCCAGGCTCGTGGGTTTTGACTTTTCCTTCCAGAGATGCCTTGATCATAATTTCTGTCGTTAGGAAATCCTCTAGCATCCCTCCCTGGATTCTCTTCTCTCACTGTTTTCTCAAGTGTTGCTCAGGAGGAGCTGACAGCCCTGCGGCTCCCCGCGCGCTGCCAGGCCCTCCCTGGGGACGGGGAGCGGAGCTGAGGACGCAGAGGCTCCCAGCGGAGGCCTGCGAGGTGCCAAAATCCGCATCCTGGTCCCCATTGCGAGGTGTTACGGACCTGGAATATGTATCTGGTGTGACCTTCAGGGCAGAAATGACTTTGGCAAGATGGTTTCTGAGCTAATCTACAAATACTGGTTTCCAAAGTCAGGAGAGCTGCATTCAGGCAGTAGAAATAAGCTGTTTCAGTCAGCTTGTGATATAGGTGTGTGGGAAGTGCCACCCCCTGCTTAGAATTAGGCACAACCAAGCCTTCAAAATTACCCTTCTCCGTGACATTTGCTCCAAGTTCTTGGCTTTGCTTCCACTGCTGACATTTCTGTTTCCTCAGTCTGCAACAGATATCGCCCAGATTCGGGAGCTGCAGACCCAGGTGGAGGAAGCAAAGAAAGAAAAACAAAGTCTTCAAGAGAAAGTGAGTCCTTGCGGCGCTGCCTCGCTCGGGCAGCGCTCCTGCTCGCCGCCGCCGCGGCAGTCCTGGAGCGCGTGTATTTAATTTTGAACACATGAGTAATCCCATTAACTTAAGTGCTTTACTGGAGCGTGGCTAAGCTGCCCGAGGATCAGGAGGAGGACGTGCCCACACCGTGCAGGACGGATGCTGCTTTAGAGATAGGCCAGATAAAAGACAACAAATTCCTATTGAGCAAGGTCGCATATCAATAGGAGTCCAGCTGATGCTGGGGTTGAGGACAGGGTGGTCGGCTTTGGAGGTCCTGGTGAGGGTCAAAGGAAAGACTTGGCTGCAGGCGGGTGCCAGCCTCATCAGCTCACTGGGATGTTTTTCCTTAAAAAACACACCTCAGTGTCATGTGTTTATTGCACAGCCTTAGCACAGATGAATCCTTTGGAAGCCCCTGGCTTTTCCCTAGGGCCTGGCAGCCTTGTGCCAGGTCTGGCACCTTCACCTTGTTTTTGGAGGGGGAGTGTGGGAAGCCCCATCACCACCATGGGACCCATGTGGCTATAGGAGGCCCCCAGTGCCCATGACACCGAGGGAGCCCCCGGGCACCGGTGCTGGGAGGCCGCGGGTCTCACCGCCGGCTCCGTCACAGCTGCAGGCGGCGGAGGCCAGGCTGGCGCATCTGGGACGCGCCACGGTGGAGCGGGCGCTCGTGGGGCGCCAGGAGGCCCGCGTCTGCGACCTGCAGAACCGCCTGGAGTTCCAGAGCGTGCAGATCAAGCGCTTCGAGGTACCGCTCGCCGCGGGACGGACCGGCTGCGGCGCGGGTGGAGGGTCCCCATGTGTCACTGCTTCGTGGTGGTTGTTTTTGCATGCTTTTTGCATGCTTTAACCAGCTCTTAGCCTCAGCGGCGGGTCGGGCAGGGGGTGTGCTCCGTGCGGCTCCGTGTGCTCCGTAACGGCAGAGCCGGGAGCTGCTGTCACGTCTCCACGCTCCTGCCCAGGTGCTGGTGCTGCGCTTGCGGGACAGCATCATCAAGATGGGCGAGGAGCTGGAGAAGGCGGCCGAGTCGGAGGCGCGGCAGAAGGAGAACACCAGGTACTACCAGATGAGGATGGAGGAGATGAAGGCCGACATGAACGAGCTGGTCCAGAGGGAGCTGGAGTCCAGCCGCCGGCGCATGGAGCTGGTAAGGGGCTGCTGCCACGCTGGGTCCCCGACGGCCCTGGCCATGGGTGATGCCCCCTGGACCCCGCCACGGGATGGGGGTGCTCACATCCATGCTCCCCTCTCTCACCTGGGGCTCTGATTTCTTGGCTCTAACGAACCCCAAGAAGTCCCTGATCAGCTGCCCTCATCGTGGGCGCTGGGCCCAGGCGCATCCCGAGCGAGGCAAAAATAGATCCGCTCTCGTTGTGCTGCATCTCCGCGCGCTTGTTTCCACGGTGTGTTTATTTTAGTAAACGGAAGGGAAGTGCTGCTTCCAAGCAGTAATTGAAAGATTACAGCCATGCTAGAAGCAGTTATTTTATTAATAATCTTTTATTTACCAATCAAGTAGATTTCAGCATTCATTTTCCCCCGAGGCTGCCAGCTCTCGGCAGAGCGCGGTGTGTTAGGAGTA